TATATATATATATGTATGTGTGTGTATAGACAATATATATATATTGTCTAGAAATATTTATTCTTATAGAAAAATGCCCATTCATATGTTATCATGAAAGTGTTCATGTAAATGTAAACATTTCCTGCTTCTACAATTGTTGGCATTTCAAAAGTTTTGCTGTGCACCTGTTCTTACAAACATTGCATAATGTTTCCTGTTTATCAGTTATAAACACAACTTGCTAACTTACAGTAGTTTTCATGCTGTGTACTGACAGCTAACAGGTGTTTCTACAGAATGAAAGCGAGCATTATGGACATTAAAGGACATCACACTCGTGGCTTGTAGGACAGAAACACAACGTTCAAAGTGACTTACCACAGTGCAAACTCTCTCTCGTGTCTCCGATTTGTAGCTTGAGATGGTTGGAAATCTTTGGTTTGATTAAATATTTACCACATCACTTCAGCACGTTAGCAGTCCACAACCGTCGTTCCATGCCGTTTTACCTGCTGAACCAGTTTCTTCTATTTACTTTCTCCTCACCCACCTGGAACTAGTCAACCTCTCACTACATGTGATTATTTTCACTGTCTTTGTCCTCTCTCAGTCACTGTACAACTGCCTTGTGTATGTGTTTGCTTTGGTGTACGAGTCTTGAATCACTTTGTCGCTTCTGCTTTCATTTAGAGGAAGTGTTCATAAAACAAGAACCGAAGCGAACTGTCATACAGCAGTGAGGGGATTTCCTTATTTCAACCTCTGGTGCTTTTCAGGCCTTTCTCTTACAGGTGTATCTGCGGAAATAAATGAAGTTGTACCACACAAAGTTTGTTCACTGAAAGGATAAAAAATATTGCCATCATTGAAAGGTGATTTAAACAGTTTGTGATTCTAATTGCAATTTTAAAATAAGCATATCTTTGTAAGCACACAAACTGGTTCACAAAGAACAGCAAGTGCAATTTTCATGTGACATCTCCTGAATCGTTCGTTGCCACGTGTAGCTTACTAAGCATTTCCGTCCACTTTTTTTTTTCCCAAGAATATTTAAAAGTGAAGGTTTTCACTTTCATTATTAATACTCCATAGGGTACTTAGATGCCGTAATTATTCTAATCTTGGCAGACCTGCTTCCATTATTGTAATAAAATACTGTGAATGCCTAAGTATAGCTGTTGATGAGCGCACAAGTTTTATGTTGCATTTGGCATTAAGCAATTGCAGCTGCATATTTTTGGGAGGAAATATTTGTCTATATTTTTTATTGAGTGGATTCAAAATTGGTATGCGATTTAACGAGATCTATAGGCTACTTAAAAATTGATGCAAAAAAATATGGCATTTTGACGGCTTACGCAGTTCATGGAAGGGTGGAAGATCCACGGTTAGTGAGCTCAGATTTAGATCCTAACAGAAAGCAAGAATGGTGATATAACAGGTCCGCCTGATATCTTAATGTTACAGATGTCAATATGACCATTTTCATTTATATACATGCTCTATATCGGGGTTTGTGAGTTGATGAACAGTGTGGGATTACAAATTTAAGAATCTGTTTAAAATATGCTGATCCTATGTTCTGACATAGCATCACATGAAAAACTAAGGTGAAGTACATTGTATTTAGGAATGACACTGTTATGCTGATGAGATCAAGGCTGGGAAAATGCCGGTGTCGGGCTGATTGTCTGTACTTCATTTGCATGCTATGGGTTAGATTGATATTACTGCGTTACAGCAAAAAGTAATATACTACTGTAATATTATTACTTTTGTAATGCGTTACTCCCAACACTGGTCTCCACCTCTACTGAATGTATCCTGTCCCCTTAAAATGTATATAAACTACAATGTATTACTGCCTGAGTCAGACTTTTGATGACTGCAGCGCCACGCAGCGCGTTCTCAATAAAGAACTCTGCTGAAGATACCCAAGAGTCTCCTAAAAATGTAAAAAAAAAAAAAAAAAAATTTAAACTAAAAATATTAAAAATAAAACACTTCTTTAAAAATCTGAAAATGTTATTTGTTTTCCTGCATGTCATGTGATCGTTAACCAACAAAAATTTAATTTTTGCTAAATTTGCGAAATATTGAGGTGTGTATATATATATATATATATATATAATTTTTTTTAAAATTATTATTATTATTTTTTTTTTTGTCAAAGGGGTTGACTGACAAAAATGTTTGGGAATCCCTGCTCTAAATAAAGAACAAAAAAAAGAAAAACTGATTGCTATTAAGCCCTTAGCGAAATATTCAGATGGTTGTACTGGCCTCATTTGTAAAGAGTGACATTTCCTTCAGCTCAGGGTGAAAGTATGGAGTAACGATATGGTGTCTGAGTGCATTTCTGTGTCTTCTCTGCTCCTGGAGTTCTTGCCTGAAGGTTGGATAAGCAAAACATCTATGCATCGCCCTCTTTGACTTGCTGAAAACGAAACCGTTCGACCAGAATAACTGTTTACCTGTGCTGGTTAATCCGTTTTCCCACAGTGACTTTTGCTTCTTTTTATTGACACTGTAAAAGCAGAAGTTGAAAGCAAACCGTATAAGAGCAATTAGTCATCATGCACTTTCACACATTCTGTAACAATTTGTGATCTGTTTTTTATCAATAAATACCAGTCCACTGGCTGAGAAAATGTACCCACTATTATGTGTTATAAGCATGTTACATGTAATAACTTATTCTGGTCTACATTTTACATATTGTAGATAAGACGTAAAATAATGAACTGTACCTCTTGGTAACTTTCTCTTCTGTTTTTTCCTGGAGCTTGTGGGGATGTTGAGCTGCTCGCACTGCTTCAGTATAGAGAGACGCCACATCAGCTGGGACAGGAACAAAAACAGACAAACGGTAAGAGTTTCACTGTGAATGACAGAGTTTAACAGAGCTAAAAATCATGCATTAGTTACAGGGCCGTCACTAAAATTCATATTTAATTAATTTTTTTGTATTGCTATTTACTACACTCTCAGAAAAACAGGTACAAAGCTGTCAATGGGGCGATACCCTAAGGTACAAAAGGTCTTTGTACCTTATTTACCCTTAAATGGTACATTTTCGTACATGTTAGTACCTTTTTAGAGTACCGCTCCAGTGACAGCTTTGTACCTTTTTTTCTGAGAGTCTATCTAATATTGAAGTGCACACTCTCAAAAATCATAATTTAAACAAAAATGGAGATTATTGTATTTTGATGGTTATTAGTTTTGAAATATAAATGATAATTTTTTTTCCCTTTGGTAATTAAATAATCTGTGCATCAGAGGATTCAATAACTATATTTACAACAATTCTAGTTTCATTTATTACATTTTGATGTATTACTCTTAGAAAACATATTAACTTATTTAAATATTAAATATTATTTCATTATTATAATTGCATATTTAGAAATATTTTATTAATATTTCTCATATCAATTTTCTCACCTGACAGAGGCCTTATCTCCATTGCAACTGGAGGATCTACAGCATCAGGCAGGGACTAAAACAAACGTAAAGTTTAAATGTATTTAAAGCCAGTTTTTATATATTTATATTCAATATATAAATATCACCTCTAGACATCTGAATGATGAATCATTTGTTAAATTGTCTAAAGAATATGACAGTAGATCTTGTCTGACCAGTACAAGCTGCAGTAGATCATTCTGATGAACTTTCTCCTCTGCTGTACACGGGTCCTTCAACTGCATCTTCTCCCATTGATTCTCTCTCTGTAGCAGCTGCTCCAAGTATTTAATACGTTTTATTAAACCCATAGAACAAAAATATATATTTTCAAGTATGTTTTTAATATATTGAAAAATATGCAAAAAACAATTGTCCAAAATGATATTGGTAAAAAATTTTTTTATTTATTTACATAAATATATATTTTGATACTTTTTAGTTATATAGAATATAACTATCATATATTTATAATACACTTAACCTAAAAACGTATCGCATGTTAATTATTATGTGTTATAGGAATTAGAGCACCTTGCCTTTGTCTTGCAGTTTCCTGCGCAATGCTTTGGTGACAGGTGCATGCTGGGTCATCTGACGCACCAGCAGCAGGCCAGGGCACTCCAAAACCGGTTGGATGCGGATGGAACTTGACTTTGGCGGTTTCTCCTTTAACTCAAGACTACAACCAAGGGTGGTCCCAAAAGGGGGGCCTGGAGTCCTCTTCTAAGCACCAGAGATGGAAACAAACCATCAAGGCATTATAGGTAATCCACACTAAACTGCATGTTAAAACAGACAGACATTTCCAAACATGTTTGTGGAAAAAAAAAGACTGGATATTTAAAGTGCCCCTATTATGCCTTTTCGAATATTACCTTTCATGCAGTGTGTCATGTAGCTGTATGTGAACATAAACTATCTGCAAAGTTGTGAAGCCGACAGTGCACGATAAATAAAGTTATTGTCTATCAAAATCGCAATCGCCTAAACGAGTCCGTTTCCGACACGCACCGTACGCGGTAGACCAATCCAGAGCCAATCTCTACGGCTCTGGACCAATCACAAAGGACTGCGCCATCTGACCAATCACAGCAGTGAGGGCTCACAGAAAGGAGGAGTTTAGAGAGACTGATTCTTTGAACTGCTTCGCATGAGTCAATTATGAATCATTTAGAAATGAGGTAAAATTAAATCTATTTTTTGAGAAAACTAACCTGTTTTTTGACCTTGCATGCATGTAAACCTGTTTTAGGAGACTCATAAAACAATATTAGCAACCTTAAAAATGGCATAATAGGGGCACTTTAAAAACAGAACAGCAATGCATTTTATGGACGACCGTTTCGTGAACCTAGGAGAGGAGGTAATTCTGACTTTGCTATGACAATCTGGTGCTTCTGAATCAGCTACTGTTTTGTTATTAGTTTTAGTATTTGCTATTGACTGTTCAAATGCGGAGTTTGCACAGTGCAGAGTAAGAGAGAGAGAGCAGTGTGTGTGTGTGTGTGTGTGTGTGCGCGTGCACGCGCGAGCGAGAGAGAGCGAGAGAGAGAGAGAGAGAGACAGAGAGAGAGAGCGAGTGAGCGAGACACATCACAGTGGAGTCAGCTGTCTTAACCGTGGCTTGTGTACTGCAAACACATACCAGCTTCATCACTGTGTCTGTCACACGACTCCGTTCCCCTTTCGGGCTTGAACTGATGGTAAAACTAACGACATTATTAACTGTCTTGATATTTACTTTGAAAGCTGACGCTCGCGATTATGGTAAGGGGCGTTACATTTCCGACGCGTGCTTGCAGACTGCGCTTGTCGGAAGGCGGGACTTTGTAGAAAACGAAGCGTTTGAGAGAGGCGGGGCATAGAGGACTTACAATAATGTACAGTATATGAAAAATAATGTGTTTTTTGAACATTAAAGCATGTCAACATATTCTGTTACACCAAATACACAAAATATTGATCTTTAAAAAAGCATCATATGACCCCTTTAATGTGGATTTGTTTTGACATTATAAAGCAAGTTATTTGTGCCACAGCAGGTCCAAAGTTAATACTAAAAGGAAGTTTACACCTAAAATGGATCACCTATAGATTATGAATTACCTCAGATGCAGGGAATGACTCCCATTTCCTGGATTTGAGGTGTGTGGGAATGATGTCATCACCTTGCTTGGATGAGAGCCAATGAGAGTCTGGGCAGGGCCTTAGCAGAGTGATGCTCAATGATTCTGAAGAGAAATCAATCAAGATAACTTAAATACTTGAGATATTGTACTTGCTGCATTTATGCTTGCATTAAATATAATTTCAAAAGGAATGGTGTTGAAAATAAAGACAGAGGCCAGTAACAATGTACAGAATGAATGGAAAGTGTCCTGACGTTGTGAGTCTGGTAGTGGGTCAGTGAGAACGGCGATAGAAGAGTCACAGTAAGCCTTCTGTAGGAGATCTTCAACATCTTGAGCTCTCAGCAGCTCTGAGGCTGAACAGTCCTCATGTACCACAAACAACCTCAAAGACACAACACAATATTCAGTTTTAAACATGTTACTTGTAATGCAATGTAAATTTTTCAAGTAAATACACTACTATTTAAAAGTTTGGGGTCAGTAATATTCTTTAATGTTTTTGAAGAAGTCCCTTACACTCATCAAGACTGCATTTATTTGATCAAAAATACAGTAAAACAATATTATGAAATATTATTATGAATATTATTGTTATTATATTAATATGATTAGAACTTCAACTTCAGAATTGAAATATAATATTTTGTAACATTATAAAGGTCTTTACTGTCACTTCTGACCCATTTATTTCATCCTTGCTTAATAAAAGTATTAATTCTTTCCAGAACAAATCTTACTGCTTTAAATATATTTGTACAGTACTGAATATAGACACAGAGAGAAAAGACAATGACTGCACAACAGGTGTGTGAGTGGCAATATTAGCATTACATTAAATAAAAAAAGTCAACATTAGCAGATAAAAATAACTAAATATATTACATGGCTTCTTGTAATAGCCAATTCTGCAGTCGATATTTTTCTATAATGACCTCAAACTGTATAATTGTTCCTGATTTCCTACATAGCTGTGCTAGTTTCATGTCTAGTCTGTTCAAGTTAATAGTCTTTCTAGTCTTTCCAGTTAATAATCTCTTCTACTTCAATCTACTTGTCTTTAAGTGACCTTGGTTGTGTTTTCTTGAGGGACTTACCTTGGTGGGTGTGTTTTAAAGCCAGCGTTCTGTTGAAGTTCTGTTTCTGGGTCTGGCTCATTATTTTCTGATCCATTAGCCGTGACAGTGATCTGACCATCTGCATTAACCTGCCCACAATATGTTCTGGGTTTTTATTCAGGATGACTTGGATACAAGAGTTTGTTGTCACTTCAGTGTTGTTATTGTTAACTAAAACTAAAACCATTACAATAATACTTATATAAAATAATCACTTTGCAACAGCCACACAAAAATTGAATTGTTGTTTACACCCTCTCAAATATTAAAAACCCCAGTTAAATTAAATTACATTTTGTCCTTACAAAAACAGTTACACTCAAATATTTTAGAGCTGACCATAACTAGAAAAATACATATTTATTCACAATAGACATTTCATGGAAAGTACTTGAAAGTGGGTCCCCTCGGGGTCCATCACATGACATAGGACATCTTCTCTGTGGTTCATCACATATTGGCCTAGTGGGTCCTTCTCTGATCTCTGTTGAGACTGGTGAGATGTGTACACTGCCCCACCATTCTTATCAATATGGAGGACACCTCCGCCATGAGGATAAATCTACAATAAAGTGACAGAGAGGAGAGAGCATTTACATATAATGTTGTTGACTCGTATATCTCTCACATATTCTTCCATCCATCCTCTTACTTTATATAATCCATGAGCAGTTGCACTGATGGAAGTGCCATCCCCGCAAATAACATCACACGTTCTTCCCTCATACTCCATTTCACCGTTGCAAATTCAGCTTTTTTCACACTAACCAGTTTCTTTCCTGAAATCAGATTTAATCACTTACTGTCAACACTGTAGGAACTGTTTATTATGTTACTGCATAAAAACAGTCTTGCACCTGAGCTCAGATGTTGTTGTAGCCTCCCCTGCTGGTAGAAGGTGCTAATACGCGTTCCATCAGCGTGATCCACTAACAGAGTGCCATCTTTCTTCAGCACAGACAGCACTTTGTCCTCTCTTGTGACCACAGCCTACATGTATAATTTGTATTACAACAGTCATATATTGACACAAAAGGAGATGTTGGTTTTGAATGATGAGGCACTTACTGTCCCACTGAAGGGGTCTGTAGCATGATAGGCCAGTATCGGCTGCACTTCAACTTCCTTCCCGTCCACAGAGGCGACTCTGAAGCCAGAGGGCGTTGTGGTGGTCCAAGAGCCTCCATTAACCTCGAGATAGTATTTTGGTTTTTCATTTTCCTTGGACTTTTGTTGCTCAACCTCTATATTTACCTTAGAATCAGCCTTGCCTGTGAACAACAAAAGATGTTGAATATACTTTAAATGGACATTACAGCCTCTCTCATTCATACTTATTCAGATTCATATACTTATCAAAAGAAATAAATTCAGCAAAGATGCATTAAATTGATTTAAAAAATAACAGTAAAGACTTTTATAATGTTACATAGTTTTTTCAGTGTACATGATACATAAATCAGTATCCTAACACGTTTTCAGTAAAGGATTTGTTTGCGCTGATGTGGTATTCACTACCTTTCTTGTCTTTAGTGTCTTTGTCCACTGTCATCTCTTCAATAGGCTCTTCCTCCTTTAAGAGTATGTGTGGAACCAGCACACACACTGGTCCAGAGTCTGGACTCGTACTGACTGTACCATCTGCAAATAGGACCTGAAACACACACATATACTTTATACTTCCTCCATGAGGTCATTATTTTATTAGGAGTGTGCTTTATGTATCTGTATTATGTGCAGAAAAAGTGAATTTTTGTACAGCCATATGTATGTAAGTGAATACCTCAGTAGAACCATCTTTCTTGTATTTGATGACAGTCCCTCTGCCGGTGATGACCCTGGAGACCTCAGTGTGTATGCTGAAGTCTGGGGTCAGATCTGGGCCCGTATGTATAAAACTTCTCAGCAATGCTCTTAAGAATAGTCTTAAGCTTTGACTTAAGTGTCAAAAAATTCTTAGTAAAAAGTAGGACTTTTCTAAGAGTAGGAGAATTGTATAAAGACGCTAAAAGCAACTTTCAGTAAAGTCTAAGACTGATTCTTAAGTGTTGACTGAGGTGACACTTAAGTGTTGTGAACTAAGGACTACAAAGATGTCAACACAAAATGGCTGACCTCAACCTCTGAATCAGCCAATAGTGAGCCTGCTCATGTAAAGTCACAGCAGCACAACACCAATCATTTAATGTAACTACAATAAAATAATTTAATTAAGACACTGAAATATTTTAATATTTAAATTTTTTATTTTTTTTAAATGCTTTGCATTGTGCAAAATTATCACAAATTATTACTAATGCTTTGTTTAATGGTATGTCTCCTCATTTACAGTTAGAGCAATGATGTGAACATGAGTTCCATCAATGGCTCCAATAACTCCAGGAAAGCCCACAATCCTCACAAAAGTTGTTTTTGCAATATGGTTTGGCGGTCAGTTGGAAAGTTAA